TTGATCGACCTCTAAACAGAAAGATAATTGGAGTAAGATGAGTGTTTAGGAAAAAGCTTGGAGTTCACAGCATCTAAGCAAGGAGGAGCGTTAAAGATCGTGTGTTTGTTTAGATTGCTGTCAGTTAGTATCTGACTGATTAAATCTCCTTATAGTTAGGAGTTGATTTAGGTTTGATTTGTTTACTGTATATATAGAGTCTTCTTACTCTTTATAATACAATCTTCTCATCAACCATTCAACCACTCATTCTTCCACTAACACCATCCCCAATATTTCCTACCAGACTCACTGCACTAGGGTCTCTCGTCTCCTTAAACCCCATGTCAGTCTAACTGCTGACCATGCCCTCAGTCCCTACGGTATTTGTTCGCCTGTTGCAGTTGGTGCACAGATGGTTGACGATGCGGTTCCATCTAGTCATACCGCCATTTCTGTCCTACTGTGATTGTCAATGCTGCCGGCCCTCAGTGTTCTTCGACCCTAGCTCCTTCTATAGCCTTAGTTGCTCTCAAAGGCAACATAGGTGGTAGGAGCTTTGGCCTTGATGGTACGATGGATTCTCTCGTCCAAGCTTAGGACGAACTTCTAAGCCAACTTAAACTCTATGTCAACCAATTCACGGGCAAACAACTTCAGTCTCATTAGCTCTCTCCTCATTTTCCATGAGGGAAACTCCCTCCAACATTTCCTCTCTGAATCAAAAGGTATCATATTGAGTAATATCAGTCATGTATTTTAATTTCCGTGTAGGCAATGACAAAACATCCATTCTACATCAGTTAAATGAATTCTTGTTGTTTTCAGAGTTGAGTCGCCTCTGGGTATTATTCCTCCCAAAAGACCTCTTTGGATTGGGACCACAGTATCACACCTTTGTCGGGCTAAGAATCTCTCGGTAGACTCCCACCATACTTTTGCATCCTTATACAACATAAATGACATGCATGACACTTATGGTCATCTAGACAGTTCATCAATTGGAAGATTGTCTCTAGCGAAGACAACCATAGTTGTGTCATCATCGGATCCTCTGAGGTTTCGGTAAATATATGAGGGTCATACCTCTTGAAGTCCTATAGGTACCTAGCCTCTCTCGTTGATGTCACATTGTTGACTTGCTGATTGGCCACCATGGTACATCATGACCTGAAATGATTCCCACATCAGGGTTGTCGTGGGATCTAGTCGCGCCGTAGGCGCCACTGGGGGTGGCGCTGCTGCGTTTGTTCGAGTCATGGATCCCTCATGAATCAGACTCCTTCTACCCCTGCCTCGTCCTCTTGTAGGGGGTCATCCTCCTTTTTAACCTCTTTCACGTCCTTTAGGTAGCATAATCTATAACATGCACATGATATACTAAGTCTACAACCCTTATCACATAAACACAATCAATCATCATAATATTCAACATAACCATTTATAATCTTTTGTATACATACATGACAACGACCGTGCATCAATGGTGGGGCCAGAAAACATGCTGAGTCTACCTTATAGGCTAGTCTACAAAGTCTATAAGCTTAGAACTCTGGCACCATTCATAATGAGTCATGCCCAGGGTTCAGAATTCAAATTTGGAACTTAATGATCCCGACATTCTTTTGCACCCTCTACAACATGGCCACGTTACTTAGTCTTCACTTCTTAAGAGTGAAAACTATCTCTATAGACCAATATGAGTTCTTCCAGCATGCTTTGTCTTCACTCACATGCATTCCAGAAAAATTCTTAGGAGGTAACCCTTCGTTCCTTTGCCTTTGCCTTTACTTTCCAGTCTCGCATCTTCACATCTTTCCCTACTTCGAGTCGATTTTCATTCCGGCCATGGTAGTAATTATATGACACCGATATGAATTTTCTCCTGCTGAGGAGCGAAATCGAAAAAGGCTTAGACATTTCCTGTGTTGGCATTCCAGCCTTCTCAATGATTCAAGATAAGCAAAATGAAAAGGATTCCAATTTCGCGTGGATTTACTTTGTTGGGGCGAAGCAACTGGAACAAGACCTAAATTAGCAGACAATTATGTCGAAATATTCCTCACTTACTCGGGGAGGTCCGGGGGTGATCGAGAGGAATCACGGATAAGAGATTTTGGAGGAGGTTCTGGATTACAAAGTCTCACAAGAAAGAAATGGGTCTCCTTTGAGGAGAAGGAGGTGCACAAGTAGTCGTCATTGGATTTTCTCGAAGTTCAAACCTCACCTGCAGAGGTTGGCGTCTGAGCCCAAGAAGAAGCGAAGCCAGAATGCCAGAGTCTTCTCTCTCTGGTGAACAAAAATGATGAGCTGGAATTCCTCCCCAGAACTCGATCTACGGCAGGAATGAAAAACAAGAGACTTTTTCTCGAAATATGAACCAATGTCAATGCCCTAATTGAAGAAGAAAAATGGCTAGGACAGTTCTGGAAGGACCGCTTAACCATGGAATTTATATGATTGAGCCGTTGAAAAAGAAGGTACACTTTGTTGGTATAGGTAGTGACTTTCAATTATTTTAAGTATCTCTTAGTTATCCTATCCTCAAGATCCTTCTCATTTAGATGTGGTATCGGTTCATTCATGTACCTCTCCTTTACTCGGGTGTCACATGCCAACTACCTTTTTTCTTGGTTCGTCCCCGAATCACATCTTACTGGGAGAGGTACTGGTTTGATATCAACTGTAACGACTCTATTTTTCAATTAATAACAAGGTCACAACTACATACATGACGTGACTAATACGTGCGGAAAACATTCATTTAAAATATTTCATAAAAAGGTGTCATGGACTTATCATTCACAATACATACTTTAAAACAACATTGTCATGAAATAAAGAAGTGAAATGTAAATGACATGAATTTAAATAAAATAAAACAAGTCCTAATCTAACATAAGGGTTACCAAACAGACATTAATGTACCTACCATAACATAGACATTAATGTACCTAATGTAACGTTGGTTTCATGGTTTAATCGTGACGCCGTCATCCTACATGGGGTGCCTTACCTTCTTTTGAAAACTAAGAGTAGCACGTAACTTGAGTATTTTAAGAAATACTAGTAAGTGATTCTACCATTGGGGTCGAGAAATGAAATCACATGCAATATGGTGGGATCTATCTTTTAAAAAATTGTAGCATGATCTTGAGCTGATTTCCAGTCCAGGGTTGAATGTGTAGTACTTCCCTACACACGGTCCGCATAGCGTACACGGACCTATCAGGCGAGCTCGTATACGTACCTCGTAGGTTTGGCTTGTTAGGTTTGTGTGTGCTGATGCTACCAGACACCACAGAGGGAAAGAGCTCACATAACATCATACCAAACATAAATGTTGTAAGGTATACATCCGTACTTAAATGTCATAAGGTACGCATCCCTACTAACCATAATAGGAAAGTATCTCAATGCATATGTCACATAAAAAAGCATGAGGTTCCCATAGCTTAAAATCATGACATAAGTCTATGATGCAAGCCAAACCTCCATTCATTTATAATATAATGGGCATATGAATCATGCTTACATAATTCTGGTCGAATCTTGCTAGATGTATAGAGGTTTATGCATCATAGATTGTCGATATCATAAACATGATTCTACAACATGACATAATCACATTATAACATAGCTTAAAAACATAGCATAGCACAACATAACATAGTATAGCATAGCATAACATAACATAGTATAGCATAGCATAGTATAACATACCATAACACAGCATATCAATCATAATTATGACATATGGAGGGACCATGGAGCACGCGTTATCATACATCATACAATTTGTCTAACCAAGTCGACAGAAGAGCCACTTACCTGGTTGGCCTAAATCAAAGTTACTATACTCTCTTCATGCTAGGAGCTCTTTGAAATCTAATTATACCTTAGGAGTCCCACCGTCATAACTTAGAATTATAGTAGGAAAATTGACTCACATAATTTGCATAAAATGATCTAAAACTTAACTCCAAATAATTTTAAATTGGCTAAACAATAGCCTAACCTTAAACACCTTCCAAGTATCGAGAATTGCTCCTGAAAAGTCAAAACATGGTAGAAAATGGTTAGAGCATATCATACCCAAGTTGGATCAGCTGAGAAGCTGAGCTAAAGTCGTCAGAAAATGTATTCTTCAATTGACTCCAAATCTATCCCTCCATGTTTGATTCATCCTAGGTAGACCCACGACATCAGATTATAATATATAAACGAACTTAACTTAGCCTAAAGGTATCAAATGGTTTCAAGTTTAAACATAGATTTGAATGGAGTGGTACATGAGAGAAAAATGAACCTCCCTAATTGAGGTAAAACGAAGCTAGTAAAACATATTCTAAAAATCAAATTCAAATTATACTTAAATAACCTTATAAAACCCAATTTGAAAATTATAAACATCGACATTATATCTATTGACATGTTCGTAAAATTGAGGATCTCGACATTTAAAACTGTCGTTAGAACTACATATCATCAATTCGATCTCCAACTCAGTTCTTGAATTTGATAAAACTTAAAAAAAAAAAAAAAAAAAAGACGAGTAATTAAAATAAGTTCCCATTATCTTACTTGGGATTGAATTATATCCAAAGATTGAATTAAGCAATGGGTAAGGCTGAGTTGATGAGTTCTTAAGCTTCCTCCACCTCAAAATTCACCATTAATTGCCCTAAATACCCTCTCCTAATATCATAAATCAAACATATAAAACAAACTCCAACTAATAATAGAATGATTTATTATATTAAAATTATTATTATCATAATTATAATTGTTTTTAATGTATGGTTTCCAATAATAAATTTAATTTAACCATATTTACAAAAATTAAATAATCAAAAGAACCAAGAAAAAACAAATATAAAATGACGGCTGTAGTTTATTGATGCATTTATTTATTTATTTATTTATTTATTTATTTATTTATTGTGGCTATAACTTCTAATAAGTATTGTCCGTTCAAGTTAATTTTTTTAAATTAATAATTTATGGAGATGGTTTAAAACACATATCAACATGGCAGCTAGGAGCACGGAGAATACAATGCAAAAGCTTTTGCTACCGTTTTTGGTTCTCATTCTGGTTTCGTTCTCCTCTCCAACGTGGAGTTCTGATCAATCTGAATCGACCTATTCGCACTTTGTGCTCGTTCATGGCGCATGTCTTGGCGCTTGGTCATGGTACAAGGTCATTACCCTCTTGCAAACGGCTGGTCATAAAGTGACTGCACTCGACATGGCCGCTGCTGGGATCAACCAGACGCAGCCCGAGTCGTTGGCATCGCTTACCGAGTACTTCGAGCCATTGTTGAGCTTCATGGAAGCGTTGCCTTCAGATGAACGGATTGTTCTGGTCGGCCACAGCCTCGGCGGGCTCGGTATCTCCATGGCCATGGAGAGGTTCCCTGAGAAAGTCTCTGTTGCCATTTTTGTGACTGCAGCCATGCCTGGTCCCATCGTGGGGTCTTTTACCATTGAGAAACTGGTTTGAAATCTAACTCGTGTTAATTTTTGTTGGATAATGAAAGTTCCGCGTCAGTTAATTTAGGGAATGCTCGTGGGTTTATAATCAAAAAATATTATTGCGTGGACAATATCATATCATTTGGAGAGTAGGCATGTTCGTCTAACCATGGACATTTATAAAGTTATTTATTTTTTTTTAGATGAAAATACTTCAAATGCTAAGAGCCTTCTACTCTGAAGAGGATTCCAAAGCTTCTAATTCGAACCTATTCCTATTCTCTCAAGAAGAATTGGAAGCCAAGCTTTTCCCTCTCTCGCCACCTGAGGTTTGTAGTTCTTCTTTTGACTTAATGCTTGAGTCGAGTGAAGAAAGGGGAGTTTATATGTAAGAAATACATGTCCATTGCATGAGGTGTTTGGGAAAACAAAAAGTAGAGTCATGTGAGCTAATGCTCGAAGTAGACAATATCATATCATTGTGGAGGGTGATGGTTCCTAACATTGTATCGGAGCTATGTACTTAACCTAGCCATGTCAATAAAATCCTCAAATGTCGAACAAATAAGTTGTGAGTCTCGAAGGTGTAAAATCAAAAGAGATTCAAGTGTCGAACAGCTCGAGTGTTTTAGAAAAAGAGTCGAACCTCGATTAAGGGGAGGCTATTCGAGGGCTCCATAGGCCTCAGGGAAGGCTCTATGGTATACTTTGTTCGAGGAAAGCTGTTCTAGGGCTCCATAGATCTCAGGAGAGGCTCTATGGTGTACTTTGTTCGAAGAAAGCTGTTCTAGGACTCCATAGATCTCAGGGGAGACTCTATAGTGTACTTTGTTCAAACAGAAAATTGTTGAGAGATGAGTCCCACACCGGGTAATTAAGAGGTTGATCATAAGTTTATAAGTAAGGAATACATGTCCATTAGTAGGAGACCTTCTCAGAAAACTAAAAACAAAGCCATGTGAGCTAACATTCAAAGCAGACAATATGATACCATATGGAGGGTCGTGGTTCCTAACAAATATCATTTACAACCGGTCAATTTGAACACTCACCTAAAAGCTAAGAGAGTAAATTGGAAAAGCTATAATAAACCTGATATAAGCTCTAGTATTGATGTGGGCATGTATGTTGGTATTATAGGATCTGACATTGGCAACAACACTGGTGAGGCCCCAAGCGATGTTCGGCATTTTGGAGTCGATGAAGGAGCTGAGGCTGACAAGAGACAAATACGGGTCGGTGAAAAGGGCTTTCATCATATCAGAAAAGGACGAGATGACATCCATGATCATGGTGTGGGCAATGCTCACATTCAACAAGCCAGACCGTCAGGCCGTGGTTAAGGGTTCAGATCACATGGTCATGGCTTCCAAGCCCCTTCAACTTGCCCAACAACTCACCACCATCGCTCAAGACTTCGCTTCTTCTTCCACATATGATATGTAATTAATAATATGTTGAGTATGGCTTAAATATATTTACTAATCAACTAATTAATTATTCAAATATTATATGAAAGAGAAGTTCTACACGTGTATTTGTAATTATAACTCTATTAAAAAAATGATATGAAATGAAAGAAATATTAGTAACTTTTCGTCGTAAAAGAAAGGTGGACCTTAGCTAGCGAGCTCTCATAGAACCATATAGCCAACTTAATTTGGAAATTATTGGCTACATATTTGCTCTATTTCGAGAGGTCCATGGAGAAGACTAATGTAGCCAATTCAAGTGAACCGACCCTCCAAAGGTCTAACTCGAGAAGTCGTTTATTCTGCTGTTCTTATTGAGACTTCATTAGGATAGAAAGCTTACTTAGGCTATGAATGTGTGGGAAAGGACCCTTCTCCAACTTTCTCTTCTTTATTGGGTAGGACCTCCAATAAGGTTATGTTCATAGAGTTAGGACTCGTTATTTAGGAATGCAATTCTAGGAACTATTTTGTACCACTCGAGCCTCGACGAAAAATTTGATTTTTCTTTTAAAGTCAAACTTCTAAGAAGCATTTCTGTTTTAATTTCTTCATTTGTGGTATGATGGAGGAAAGGATATTCTGATCTATGCTCCGGGTGATTGTTTGATTGTGTGCATGATTTATACCTTATCATTTTCATGCATTAAGGGGTGATAAAAATATCTTTTTAATAAACATTTGTGAAAGGATAGACACATTTTACGTATTAAGACAATCGTGAGTGATTAGAGGTTAGACCTGTTTGCACTGGGATTGGTTTAGTCGAGGGGCTAACCTCGACGTCCTGGAATTGAGAAATGGAGTCTAAATTGCCTAGATGCCCTTAAGAACCTGGTAGACCTCCACAATATCTGAATATGATTTAAGTTGCTTACATTACCCTAAGAACCTGGTAGACCTCCACAATACTTTTGGGTATTGCTTGTGATGCCCAACTTTCCTCTACTTTCTACGATCAATCTTGTCCTACTGCCCTCACTACTATTAGAACTGTTATTAGGCAAGCAGTTTCTCAAGAGCGTCGAATGGCCGCCTCTCTCATCCGCCTCCATTTCCATGACTGCTTCGTTCAAGGTTGTGATGCATCCATATTGCTCGATGATACACCCTCTATGATAGGCGAACAAAACGCAGCGCCTAATAGAAACTCTGCAAGAGGATATGGAGTGATACACAAAGCTAAGACTGAAGTTGAGAAGATATGTCCCGGTGTTGTATCTTGTGCAGATATCCTTGCTGTGGCCGCAAGAGATGCTTCTTTTTGTTTAAGTATTTTTTTAAATACGCATGCAAGTTGATTCTATATATGGTGACACTTTTCTAATACTGTTTATATCAAAATGTAGGTCGGTGGTCCATCCTGGACGGTAAAGCTTGGGAGAAGAGATTCTACTTCTGCAAGCAAAACTCTAGCCCAAAGCGAGCTTCCACACTTTGAAGAAAGCCTCGATGGACTTGTCTCAATTTTCTCTATTGCAGGTTCTCACACCATAGGACAAGCTCAATGCTTTCTTTTCCGCAACAGGATACATAACCAAACTATTATTGACACGGGATTTGCTACCACTCGTCGTAGAAATTGCCCCACATCTGGAGGGGACCAAAAATTAGCACACTTGATTTAGTCACACCAAATCTCACCACGCCACCCTTATGATGTTTAGAGATAGGTCCTAAATCATGATTGCTGAGTATTCTTTAAAATACTCCGGTGGTGTACTACATCATTTTTCAGGTAAAGGCAATGCGCACTTGTATAAAGGACGGCGGCATCGCGAGCAGAGATTGTGTCATGTGCATAGGGTCGACTCATATTTAAATTCTTATAGGTTGTTTTGCATTTCATTCTTTTAAATTCTTTTGTATTTGTCTTTATTTTTTTATAAATTTGAGTATTTCGTATGTAAACAGACCATGTGTGTGTTTTTTAATAAGTTGTTTAATCATTTTTTCGAAGTTTAAGTTATAAATGATGTTTATGTAAGAGTTATATTTCCGCATTGGAGATGAGAATGAAACGCTAATAGCGACTATGAGTATGTGAAAATTTAGGGTCGTTACAATACAGCTCCTTTCCCTTCGTGGTTACAGCAACGTTAGTGTACGCTCCCCTAAATGGCAGGCTCATATAATAGCCCAAAAAAATCATAAATAATGAAATAAATAAAAAAATAAACAAATAAAAATAATTATAAAAAAATAGTTAAATATACTAATAATAAATAAATAAATAAACAAAAAAAACAAATTTTCCCCTCCTCTCCACTGACCTCTCATCCCTTCCCACAATTATCTCTCTTCAATTCATCGTCAGTGTAACAACAAAAAGAAACAGAAAAATAACTTCAGATTTACTTGAGAAACATTAATTATTACAATAATGGTTTAGCTTTGAATTAGAGAAACTAAATGTCAATCATTTATAAGAATTCTGGTAAATCGGGTCAGATGAGTAAATATTAGATTAAATTTATATCAGTAGCTAAATGATTAAATTAAAAATAGAATGACCAAGAAAATGTGTGAAAACACTAAAATAAGGAAAGATTTGGAAATAGGAATCCAAATTTAGAATATATGAGAACAAAATTAAAAGACAACCCGAGTAAATATAGATAAAAAGGAAGATTTAGTAATTAAAAACAACTAAATATAGAGAGAAGAGTAAATTAGGGAGTACTCTAGCTTAAGTGATCTTACTAAAAAAAATTATATGAGTTATGATGATGTATGAACTCTATTGTACGATGTCGTATGTTAGTATATGATAATGTATAAATTATGATAATATACGGATTATGATGATATATGAGTTATGTACATAATATATATATATATATATATCGATAAATGACGTACTTGATATGCTTGATAAGAGTATAGACTATTACAATATTTTTCATAAATTCATTCCTCCCAAAACAATTTAGTAGTCAAATGGGTCAACTTTGGCTACATGAAAGTGGACCAATAAGAAAAATGTTATTTATTTATTGTTAGTATTAGTATTATTATTATTTTCCATTGACATGAAGTAAAAACATTGTAGTTCAAGAAATTAAAAAAAAAAACAAAAACATTTATTCTCTCGGTTAATTTAACCTAATAGAATCGTGATACACATGTCAGTTTAATTTATACTATTCCACGTCCCTTTGAGATAAACCCATATCGACCTAAAAAAAAAATTGGAAATTGAGGAGAAGAATCTCGAGTAATGTTAGGTTCAGTTTTTTGTAACATCGGATTAGACCTAACACAAAGTCTTTTTCGGTTAACTGAGTAACTCGAGATAGAGCTTCAATTTCCTGTTCACTCGGAATGGAATGGTGGTTAGGTCAATCAAGAGAAAAAAATGAGGGGAAAAAAAAAAAAACATATTATCCATTGGAGATCGTATGGGCAGGAGTTCATGTTACTCAATTATTGTCGGTCTCAAGGAACGATAAACCCAACAAATTCCATCAAAATTACAATTGGAATTATTTTCCAAAAAATAAATAAATACAAAAAAGACAACCAACATCCCCACATCGCCGCCGTCAGATGGTTAGTTTCAAGGGTAAAAACCGACGAACGGAATCGGAGTCCGAGAGGTCGTCGACGGCCGTTGCGGCGGCTGAGAAACCTGGTGGATTACCTCGACGACGGATTCAGCGACGACGACGACGAAATTGATGGCCAATCTCAGCATCTCCAAGTAGAGTTCGAATCTCTGAATCGCCATTTTGAAGCCTTTTTTTTCTTTTTTTTGTTTCCGTCAATTTTCCGCGTCGCTCTGTTCTCTAATTTCTTCTATGCCTCAAGTCTTATCTCTCTATATTTATAGCCGTGGAAATGGAGGGTCCTCTTCTTAATAATATATTTTATTTTATGTTTTTAAATATTTAATTATTCAAAAACAAATAAATGTATTTCATTTTTAAATATATGTCTTAAAATCATGTGTTATTTTATGTAGGACTTTATGGTTGTTTATTTAATTAACTAACATTACGAAAGCCAATTGTTAAGTGATTTTTTTTTTATTTTTCTTTAAAATGGAAAATATTAAAGAAATTAAAAAAAAAAATATTTTTAAGGGTTTTATTATTATTATTATTTATTATTATTATTTTTTTGGGATAGACGAAGGGACAATTATTCACATGTTTGGAGGTTAATTTGGCTTTTGGAGCATTCCAAGAGACACCGCCCTTTCTCTCTCTCGTATTAAAATGGTTTTCGATAATAAATATTTCTGGTTTACAAATTTTTGTTTATTTCTTTAATTATAATTTTGATATATTTTTTTTAAATTTTTTTTTCTTACAATACATTATTCTAACTAATATCCTGTTTTTTTTTTTTTTTTTTTTTACTTAAAAAATTATTTTTAATTTTTTTTTTAAATGTACGGATATTATTGAAACTTTTAAACGAGATAAAAAGTCAAATTTAATTTTAAAAATTATGGTTCATTTGATTTTTTATTTATTATTTTAAAATATTAAGTCAATAATTACTATCCACACGTCGACTTCCTTGTTTTTTTTTTTTTTAGATTAATTATTAAAAAATACACAATTTTTAAACACCATAAAACAAATGATTTTCTTACAAAATCACTTTTTTTTTTTTTTTTTTTTTTTTTNTTTTTTTTTTTTATCTTTTCAAAATTTAACTTAATTTTTTTAAAAAATTCTTCAAGAAAATGGGGAAGTATGTTCTGATTAGATATATAATTTAAATATATATCTAATAGTTTAATTATTAAAAAAATTAAATATATGGATGATTTATTCGGTATAAAATGAACATCAAAATTTAAAATTTAGAGATTTATAAAATATTTATTTTTACTTTAAATTAATAAGAACGACATCACTTATTAGTATCGTTTACATAGATTTTCTTTTAGTTTCATTCAAAAGCTGATATCCCTAAAGATATGGTCTCTTAGCTATGAATACTCATCGACTCTCGGGAAAGGGTAGAAGAATGGGACCTATTATGGGACATACAATGCACCAAATCGCCCTCCCTTCGGGGATGCCCTCAGCATCGAGGAACATATACTAGGAAATTTTCTTTTAGTTTCATTCAAAAGTTGATATCCCTAAAGATATGGTTTCTTTTCACGTAATATGAAATTTTCTTTACATTCTCGATTAAATTTTTACACTAAAATAAAATAAATTATAAAAGACATGGTCAAAATGGTATTTTAATAATAATATAATTATAAAAAATATATATTTTTTGGAAATGAAAGGAATATTCTTTTATGAATTTAAAAATATATAATCTAAGTCTTTGTTGTTATCCAAATGCAAAGGAATTTAATATTTTAAAGAGAACTAGTAGTAGTAGTAGGAGGCATGCTCCAATGCATGGGGTGAGAGAGCCTTGGTTTTCCATTTTTTTTTAATAAAAATAAATAAAAAATAAAAAAAGCAATAATCTCAAAGTTGCTGAATCTTATGTCTTCTAATGCCAACTTATCCAAAATTTTCTTACGATAATGGTCAGCTTGTAGAGTTTCTAATTCCTTTGGTGGTTGCAATTACCTAAGTGTACTATATTTTCAGTGTCTACGACGTGATATGCATAGAGGCATGCTTGGCATCCAAGGTTATGGTCACAAGAGGCTAGGGTATAAGCATCTAATCTTATACTGGGCTTAAGATACCCTGTGCTCAAATCCATGGGTTGAATATCTGCACTCTGCAATGTCAGCTCTCTCTGACTTCCTACGGTTAGTGTGCTATCTCGTGACCCCTTCTGGCCTTCCAATCGTCCCTAAACACTATAACTCAGAATCTAGTATCGTCTTGTAGGGTTAACGTTCACTCTTTACTGCCCAAGGACATTACCATAACTAAAAATCTATATCACGTAACCCAAAACATACACAAATACATAAAAGTCTTACAACATATCATATACTACTAAGTAAGGTTAGATTGCATACCTAGTTGCGGCGAAACGTGTCATCAAGCTGAGTTACAGAGGTGTACGACTTTCTATCCGAAGAAAAGTTTACAAAACCTAAAATCTCACTGCTTTTGTCACGACTCGATTTTTAGGCTTCAAACTCAAATCATGACCTAAAAGAAAAAATTAAAATAAAAAATAAAAATCTGATAAAATTCAAATCAAAATAAAAACAAACAACAACACAATTAAACATAAAATGAATCAAATTACAAGACGATGTTGTTCAAATTTATTACAAATGGAAAAATAGGTTTGAAACTCAATTACAAATGTTGATTAATGCTCCGAAATGACCCCTCTGAACCACATAGCTCTCAAAGGCTACAAACACCTAGAAAAGAAAAATACTCAATAAGTAACCTAGAAAGGTATCCATAGGCTTTACATACTAAGTAAATGACTCTCATTGTTCTCATTGAGGGGGCCTGAATGACCCCCTCTGACCACATGGATCACATTGCATTCTTAACCTAGTAGGTATCCACAGGCTTTACTTCAAGCTCTAGGAATTTTGAGCCTAGCCTCTACTACTATCTGAGCATCTGGGTACCTCGAAGTTTGGATAGGTACTTTAGTTGCTCATAAACCCACTTTGGGTACGGGGGAGGTGGTTCACTCATTTCTGGCGTGCCAGTCTTTTGGGCAACAAATCTCATCTCTATTGCGAACTTATTTTCTATTCTTAGACTTAGGGTAGCTTGCTTTGCCTAAGCACTGTGTAACCTGTGTCCTGGGTCGAGGTACTAATAAAATTCTCTCTCTAATGGCAACAGTATGGTGTATGCTAGCCTTCATGTTATCCATGAGAGGTTAGTTGACAAATCCTTCCTACACATTCATATGGTCACCCAAGGTTGGGGGAGTGACTCCCTATACTTGCCAACTATTAAGATTATCTATATAATCCTACGTCCCCTCTCAAGATGGATTTGTTGTGTAGGATAATCCAACTGAACTGTCAATTACGCAACCCTAACTAACCTAGGTCTGGCTTGACGGTACTAGTACCAGAGTAGAAAGGAAAGTGGAAGTTATGTTGACACTGTGCCTATTACTATTAGCCTAGAGAGCTACCTTTGTCATTCTTGGATGCCGTGAAGATTTACTACGTTCTTAGAGGTGTCTAGGCAATTTAAATCTCGTCTCTCATTTCTAGGTCGTTTAGGGCTAACTCCTCGAGTTAATCCATTCTTGGGTGCACCTAGGTTTAAACCTCTGATCGTCGTTTAGAATCCTGGGGTGCATGGCATGTTGGAAATGTCTATAGCATACTAATCTTAACTTGGTTCACTCAACATGTGTGGCTATTCTCATGCTTATTTGATCTCTCTAAGCTCTAATCATATTGAGTCTATTCATCTAGGGTTGGTTTTACTAGCATGCATACATTTTCAAGTGATTCCTATAAGTATTACTTGCCTAGAATCAATATAGCTACTTACTTGGTTGTCGTGTGTCTTCTTGAGTTCGCTTTTATGCTAGTAGAATGCTCTAAATTTCTCGAAAGCTCACTCATAGGCCTTAGATCAAGTAGAATTAAGGTAAGTACTGAAACCAGAATGAGAAACAGTCGAAACGAGCGAAAAGCGATGACCATGCGCTCTCACTTGTGGTGGGGGCAATCTTACACACGCATCCACGCGTGCATAATTACAGGCAAGTAGCGCACGAGCAGGCAGGTAGCATGCGATCAACGCTCAGTATCGAACCCTAGGGAATGTGAAAATTACCTATAATTTTTTTATGACGTTATGTGGCACTCACTGGTAAGTGCTTTGAGTCAGGTTGATTCTCAGTTAACGGATTGGGTTACAGTACTGAGCCCAGTCGCACCCATGTTAACAGATTGCAGTTTTAGGTCGAATCAGGTAAGCTCAAGCAACATGTCTCCACCAAAAGCATGATGCGTAGCTCCAGTCACATGCTCAACATAGAATTGCTCCAAGCAAAGAATACTTAACCATGAAATTCATGTCATTGATTCACTGAAAGAAAAAAAAAAAGGTACATGTCGTTGGTATAGGTAATAATTTTCATTTCCTTTAAACCTTTGTTAGTCATCCTATCCTTTAGATCGCTCTGGGAAGTATGATGAGTTTATAATCAAGGAATACTATCTTCCACTGATGTGAAGCTTTCTGGGGAAGCCTAAAGCAAAGCCATTGTGATGTGTCTAAAGTGGACAATATCATACCATTGTACCATTGTGAAGTCGTGTTCGTCTGAACTAAAATTCAATCCCATCCATTTCAAATTGAAAATTTTTAAAAAGCTCGTGTAAGGGCTACACCACTGTTACCATGGGGAACCGGCAGTGGATTTTGGTCCCGCCATCTTAAACCCTTTTATCCGATTCAGGTTTTCGTTTCGCTTCGAGTTCGAGCTTGTTCCTCTCACAAATTTTCAGGTTTCTTTTGGGTTATGGTATCCGTGAAGAAACCCTTCTTCCAATACTGTGTTTCGTCCCTTAACAGCTTCAATTGACGCCCATCCATGGCGACCCACCTTCAAATTTCCGCTAAAATGGCCCTTCACGCCCCTGTTCTTCTAGCGCCCAGAGTAAGCTCGACCACCCTTTCTTCTATTTCTCTTTTTGAAGTATTTTTGTGAAGGCTGAGTTAATGTGTGGGATTTTGGGCGCTCGGTTTCTAGCTTTTGAGAATGCATTTGTTTTGTTTCTCAATGTGGATGAAATTTGTTGGTAATTGGAAAATCATATTGGTTAAATTGGTGGAACAACCTTCTTGTGAATTTGTGGGTTATGTTGATTAATTGGAAAATGCTATTTGATGGTAAATTCTGTCGCTGTGATGGCTGAATGCCTCTACATTAATGGGTATGGGTATAAACTTATCTATTTTAGCCTCTCATAGCATTGAAAGAAGCGAGGAGCTATTTAAGAGGGAAGAGTATGCAAGACTGTAGTTATCTTCGGGGGTGTATTTTGTTGTAACATAAGCGGAAACAAGATCGATTGTACTCTCACACACAAGAACATAAATGAACAAAGAGACACAACGATTTACGTGGTTCGGAGAGAAGAAATTCTCCTACATCCATGGGTGGTAGGCAATTACTATAATCAAAGTATTTACAAATGTATCTCTCACACTCTCACACTATGAAATCTCACTTACAAAGTTCCTCCCAATTGCCTCTAGACAAATACAAAATGGCAATGACTCCACATCTCATAACAATGCTAGAAAAACCTTTTTATAGGCATAGCAATACTAATTCTCATGCATGAATCGAAGCAACAGTAATGGTCATACATGAATCAAGATGATTTATGTACCAATATCGAAGATGAACCAAATGAATCCAATAGATTCATGAATAGAAGTGAGGAATGTACCAAAAATATTCATGAATCTATGTATTAATGAACCAAATCTTTATGAAAATTCTCTAACATATTCATGTTCAAATGATTAAATTTATGCCAGCTTGTTGGCTTAAAATTTTGGGTGTTTTATTGAATGTAATCATAAAGTAGGGGCTCTGAGTTCAAATTACTACCATGGTAGTTCCTCTCTATTCCATACTAATAGTCTATGCATGTAAACATAGTTCAACTTGTTAATATATGTTCAATCAAAATGTCAGAGGTTTGAATCCTCTCACCCACCCATGATGATCTTTAAACAAAAAAGGACTATGCATCCAAGTTGAGGCTTGAATGCGTGACTTAGATGATAGAGAATATGTGTAATGATTAAATTTACTGTAGCTTTTCAACTAAGTTTTGTGGATGCGGTGGTGCTTTATTCAATGAAGAATGGAAATGATATTCGGCCTTCAAAATTTTAGCTTACGCAGTGTTTAACATTTGTGTGATGGATTTTCATTTTTGTTTTAATGAATTTTCCACAACTCTAGTTCATTGTTGAACGAACTTGATGCCACTTGCTTACACTGTTTCCTTTTCTTTTTTATAATTCCTATTCTTTCGACTTAGTCGTTCTATCAAAATTTATAAGGTACGATTTTTGTTCTTATTGTAGCTTCGATCACCGGAATGCAGCCACGTAGTGAGTTTAAAACCACATAAAAGAATTCAGAATGCTAGATCTATGGTCTCTTGTGCAATGAATATGAGTGCAGGACAATCAGATGATCCAGGGAGGGCGAGTTGGGATAGTTTGAAGAACAGGGTAAAAAAACTTTGGGACAACTCACCAGAGCCAGTGAAGTGCTTCCCTTGGAATGAAGCATTGAATAACTTCATCCAGCTTATTGCTGATCTCATCTTGTCGGTCATCAAATACTTGAGCGTACCATTGCTTGTCGTCACATCTCTCAGCGAGATGTCCTACTGCGCCCATGAAAAGAAGCTTCTTATTGTCCCATTTCCATTAATAATTGGCTTCTCTGTTGCTGAGGTCATGAGACAGACAGCTTTGAGTCTATCTCCAATTCTTAAGGTAAGGTTTCAGCATCATCGCTCCATTACGTGTGACACGTTAGTTGAATGAATCATAATCATAGTTCATTGACAAAGCATTGGTCTCATATCCTCCATTTTAGCTCTGCTTTTATATCGCCCTTGCGTAGAGAACATTTTCTACTGTTTCTGGATTGATTACATAACTATATTTGCACATGATGCAATCGAAAACAATAAGTATGTTGCTTTAATCATGCTGTTGAATTTTAATCTTACGTTAGTTGAAAAAAACATCAATTGTCTGATTTAGCACTTTGTTGTTTCTTTTTACGTGTTCGCTCGTCATTTTTCTTATTGTTCTTTTAACACACGTTGATGTTCTTAGTTGTCTTTGTAGTATTCTTCATTTTGAACAATAATTTTCGGAATAATGTTAGCTGGGAATGTTCGAACACAGTTCAGTAGTCTTCCCGTTGCCCATTTTTTATTTTGAAACACACTCCTGAGCTTATCCTTCAGTAGAAATACGATGTGAAGAGCTGTTTAAAGAACTCCTTGATGTTCTTAGTTGTCTTTGTAGTATTCTTCATTTTGAACGATCAAAATTCGGTTAGCTGGGAATGTTTGAACACAGTTTAGTAGCTTCCTGTTGCTCATTTTTCATTTGAAACACACTCTAGAACTTGTTCTTCAGTAGAAATACAATATAAAGAGCTGTATAAAGATCTTGATTGACTTCTAGTTTCCTGTGAATTCTACTGAACATTTCTTGTCAATTCATTTATAGTTGTCTTCCTTTTGCCTTTCTATGATTCAGGATCTAGAAGTACCATGGCATTTAATCACAATTGCTCTGTTCTTCACACTCATTAAACTGCCTGGCCCATACTACCCATATTGGGGACGCATATTCCTTCCTCATTTTGCAAATGGGGGTCTGTTGAGAACAGTATGGTCTATGTTTTTCTGGTTTAGAAGACCTCGAAGGACATCGATGTTGCTGAAGCAGAAAGAGAATCACCTGGATACACCGAAGAACTAATCGAGGAGTAGCACAGAAAGTTTGAGATGAATTATTCAGAACGAAGTGTGATTGAACGAGGCGAGGGAGCGAACTGATGAATAAATTGTTGTAGTACGAGACCGATTATAGTTGATTGAGGGATTGTTTTGGTGATGGAACATTGGAGATGAGCCTTAAAATGAAGGCTAAATGTGTTTTCATGTAGTAGCACAGAAAGTTTTGGAGGCTGTATTTACGTATCATAATTGTTGGAGTAACTCAAATCCTAGAACATGAACATAGTACACAATGTTCTTCAATTCCTTCCTAAATTTTAAGAAAATTCGTAAGATGGAGTTAAGCTATACTTAACACGTAAACATAAATCAATAAAGTTGTATCTATCTCGTGTTCTAAGAATGTTGTCACAAATACGGTGGAGAATTTGCATATAAAAATTATGAATATCTTAATCACTAGACTACGTTCAACTCGAGTTTGCCAGCTAACCCCTTCGAAGTTGCTATGATGTTATTGAATTGTATCGCTCTTCTTTATGCCACTCCTCTCATGTTATTGAATCGAATCTCTTATGTTCTAAGAATGATGTTATTGATCGGTTCTTGGCCATGAATTTCTAACACATACGTGCGACGAATTATGGATATTTTTTTTCTTGAAAAAAATAAAAAAAATAATTGGGGGATGGTTATTTTTTAAAATATAGGTATATAAGGTAGTTTTTGAAAATTGGGTAATTTTTGAGAAATAGTTTTATTAAAATTAAAGAAGAGAGAGAAGGAAAGGAAAGGAAAGGAAAGAAGAAACGGAAATGTAATGAAATGAGTTTGTGCTCATCAAACTCCAAAGCCCTATCACCGCTTCTTCTTCTTCTTCTTCTTCTTCTTCTTCTTCTTCCTCCTCCTCACTCCCACTCTCACTCCTTCCGCCATGAAAGACCACCAAGATACCCAAGAGCTTCACCCCGACACTAACAAGCGCAAGCTCGAACAGAACATTCAATTGGCTAAGCAGAAAGCTCAGGAAATCGTTGCTAAGCTTGTGAGCAATGCCGAGTCTAAACGCCCTCGCTTTGACTACGAACCCGCCTCTGCCGCCCCCGCCTCTCAAAATCCACTGTCATCCGCTTCCCCCTTTCCTGGTAAGCATGTTCAATTTCTTCGACTCCTTTTTTTTTTTTTCCTTTTTAATTTAGGTAAAGGGGATGTTCTGCTTGTCTATTTTTATGCTTTGGAGTTTGTTCGAACATGTGTGGAATTGTTACGGATTCTTGCGACACGAGTCTTTAATGATTCATTTGTGGTTGGATTTTTGGCTATGTTGATAGCATAGAAATACGCCGATGTTGGATACGTGGATAAACAATGTTCTTGTCCATTACTCTGATTTTGTTCTAGCTTTTAAGATTTTGCGCTTCTCTGACATTTTATTGTCAAGTTTGTTAAATTTTGTCGACCTATATTTTTTAGACAAGGGGAACTGGAGTGGGCCTTTATGGAGCCTTTTAGGGCTTTGGGAGGAGTCATAGCAAAGGTAATCTCTGCTATGGAAATTTTGGAGAAGCCTTCTTGCGGTCTATCAAATTTTAATTTAAAGATGAGTCTTCTTTGTCGGGTGACATCAATCTTTCGGCCACCTTATCCAAGGGTTTCAGGAAAAAATTTTGGAGAGAATTATATCATTTCTATCCATTAGAACCCAATGATATAGACATACTTCTTTATGTAGGTTTCCACCCTGTTGATATCATATCTGACAATGGGGATGTCGATGCAAATGAAAATCTCCCATTGTCGAAACTTGTAGTTTGATGCAAATGAAAATCTCCCTTTCACGTTTAACAATAAGTAGCTCCAAGCTTATACAGCTCCACCTCTAGCTATGGTATCATTTGGATCAATCTTGCTTAAGTTTTGTGATCATTGCAAGCATTTGTGGGAGAGAGTCGAGAGAAGACAGGTTGGTACACAAAAGACAGCTGAATTGACAGTGGAAGACCCCTTGGGTGATCTATTACGAAACTAAGGAGTCACTTGGGAGGTTTCAAATTGACAGTGGAAGACCTCCCTTGCGGTCTTTAATGTAGCTAAGGAGTCACTGGGGAAGGTTTCCATTGTTAAAATTGGGAAGTAAAAGACCTTTATGGATGATAGATTGGATAGATTATTTCCCCTTGATGTATGCTATTAGTAACAAGAAGAAAAAGAAAAGGGTTGGTATGCAATGTGTTGGATGGTGAGACTCCTTTGTGGAGCATCACTGCTAGAAGGAACTTGTTAGAGGCAGAGATGGAAGATTTTGAGGCTTTGGTTGAAGAATATGAAACTTTTAGACATCAGAGAACTTCTGGCTGAGGTCCTTGCTGCAAATCCTGATTACAAATAGTTTTCTTCTTCCAATAGCACTCGCTCTTGCAATAAAGAAGGATAACAACCCCGAAAAAGTGAATTTTTTGTGTGGACCCTTTGTTTTGGGGAGTATTAATCCTGGAAAGAGATCAAAGGAGATGGCCTTCGCTTTCTGTCCTTCAATTCAAACTAGTGCAATTTGTGTTTAAGTACAAAGGAGAGTTGAAATCACGTCCTCTTCACTGCCAATTAAGGAGTTAATGAAACTAAATCTGTCAGAGCTTCAATCTACAATGGTGCTTCCACTCAACTACAAAGGAGAACACTTCCCAATTGCCTTTGGGCTACAGTAAAAAAAAAGGCAAAGATCCTCCTCGACATTATTGATATAGGCTTATGGGATTTTTAAAGAGAGAGAAATGACTGTGTTCAATGACAAGATTAGAGGGTGGGTAGAGGTGATAGAGCTAGGGAAGGGAAGTTTCTCTCATTCAACTACACTTTCATGTAATTTTCCCCCAATTGAAGTCTTTAATAGTTACCAGTACCACCTTTATGTAATTAATGGGAATTGGGAATCTTTTTGTAGTAATTAGAAGGTAGTTTAGACTAGAAATTTCTGTTTCTTTTAGTTGATAACAAAAGGAGAGTTTTAAAAAAATATTGTAATCGATACTTCAATTTGAGGCTGTGTATTATACAATTCACATTGACAATCTTTCTTTTTTTCCCCCTTCTCTTCTTTGTTTGTTTATTTATTATAATGGATTGTGTAACTCTTCTTTATAAAGAACTAATTGTATTAGTTTCGAGGTATCATTATGATGTAGTCTTAATTCTATATTCAATTGCCTGTTACTTGAGATTCTTTTTCAGCACATTTAGTAGGCTTACTAATCACGAAGTAGACATTTCTTTATTTTTATGCTCAAACACTGTGTCATGTCATGTCATATATCACTTCTTGCATTCGATTTTTCAACATGCATTGGCAACTTCGAGATTCACTGTTCTGTAAATACTAAGCATGTAGTTATATTTCTATTGAAAAGAAGCACAAATTTCCAATTCCAGACTTTGCTAACTTTCAAGTTGTTCAGTTTCTTCTGGTACTCAAACAGGTCCATACCATGGTTTTCAAAGCACGAGTAAGAAAATAAATATTCCAAATATTAAGGTACTTGGTTGCCATCTTGTCTGTTAGATTACCATTTGCCTACTGCTGTCAAAGCTGATTTTTTCTTTTCAAATCCTTTTTGTAGGTTGGGTTGATTATTGGGAAAGGTGGAGAAACCATCAAATACCTTCAACTCCAGTCAGGGGCTAAAATTCAGATCACCAGAGATTTCGAAGCTGATCCTCAATCTTTGACAAGAGATGTGGAATTAATGGGCACTTCAGAACAAGTTAGCAGGGCAGAACAGCTTATCAATGAAGTAATGGCAGAGGTAAAGCGCTGATTAAAATGCTTTATCATTGTCAAATTTTGTATGTTGGAGATGTGAAGCTATTTAGGCACCTTAATGTAACAGGCAGATTCAGGAGCTTCTCCTGCAACCACAAATCAGGGAATGACCTCAAGTCAACCTGGAGTTGAGCAGTTCGTAATGAAGATTCCTAATAATAAGGTAATTGCTTTTATTGCGTTTTATCCATCCTTTAAGGTTAATCTAATATTATGATAAGAATGTTGTTATAGGTTGCACTTGTCATTGGAAAGGGAGGCGAGACTATAAAGAGCATACAGAGTAAGTCAGCAGCTCGTGTTCAGGTATGTAATTTGTGGGAATTATAGTCGATTGAACCATTGCCATTGCAATTATTGCAGTTCAAGAGCAGTTTAGAGTTTCTAAAATTAGCAAGCACAGTAACATTACTGCTCGACCCTGTTTTGTTAGATTTGTAACTTTGAATTGTCAGACTCAGAAAGTTTACTAGAAAAGTATACTTCAAATAAAAAATTCTCCATTTCATCATTCGTACATCTTAGGAATCATTTGGTTGATGATCCTACAAGAATTTGAAACAAAGATTCACAGCCTGTTATTTTTAGATATGTGTTTGATAATGGATTTAAAATATTGAAAATATGCAAGGTTGTTTTCAAAATTTTCACATTTTAATCTAAACATTGTCCGGTAATGCTGTTTATCATCTTCTTGTATGGACTCCCACCCTTCAGGTTATCCCTTTGCACCTTCCTCCCGGAGATACATCGACAGAGAGAAATGTTTATATTAATGGGCTGAAGGAGCAGATTGAGTCAGCTAAAGAATTGATTAATGAAGTCATGAGTGGGGTGAGTCATCAACTCCCTTTATTGCCTTTGCATCTTCTTACATCAGGGAGAATGGTTTCCTAAAATTCTAAATGGAAGCTCTACGAAATACTGTCAAAACTTCTCCTCACCTATGTCCCCGATTTTCTCTGGCTCGACTAATTTTCTGCTGAGATTTCTGTGGTTTCTTTATCTGGTATATTATCACGTGCATGAAAATCCGAAGTATTGAAAGGCAATATTTTCTATTATTTATTTTCTAGGATTGTTTAACAAAGGCTCGGTTTGAAATGACTTTTCTAGTGCTTAAAAACACTTTTTAACCCTTAAAACCATTTTTTAAGCACTTTGAAAATCATTCTTAATAGGGCTCGTAATTTCCTTGGCTTGTGTTTTTGAACATTAGGCTCTTGTATGGTAGCTGAAGTTCAACTGCACATCATTTCTCCTATCTTTCAATAGGAACGTTTAAAATTTCAGTCACTTTTTAAGAGATTGACATAAGCTTTGATAGACTGCTGGAATTTGAATGTTGTTATCTCTGAGACATAAATGCCCCCATTTCTGCAGAAACGTCTGGTGAATACATCTGAAACTACTAGCTATGCCCAATCAACTTACCCCCCTCCTACCAATTGGTCTCAAGCTGGGCAACAACCTCCCTTGCAGCAACAGCAACAACCCCAATATGGATATGCGCCAGGA